CGAAGTGATGGCGTGCTGTCTCTCCTTGCTGAAGGTGACATAAATAACAGATTTCGGAGACTAGAAATAAACTGAAGTGACAGACAATATGATGAAATGGCCCGTGAAACAGCAACATTTGCTTCACATCTCCTTTGGTTTTCAGAACAAATTCCAATTGTGCCTACGGCACTCTTTTCAAGCCATCGCCCACCCCGCAAAGTGAAACCATGATACGTTTGTTCATCCGCTGCCACCCCCCAATCAAATCTGACTCATTCTCACTGGACTACTTGGAAGCACCCACTTTGGCTAAAAGGTCATAAGTACTCAGCAAGCCATTTACCTCATTAGCTGTAAGCATGGGCTATTGATAAAAGGAAGCTGCAGCGGCAGTGTATAAATGCATCACAATTGGCTCACAGTCTCTCGTCTAGTTCGTCTAACCTTACACCTCGGCATTAAAGAGCTCTGGCTGAGGACAACTAAAAGGATTAACCTCCACAAACTACTTTCTGTGAATCAATGCACCATGACCACCACAAAATACTTCTGTATATCACTGATTAGTGCATGACTTCTGACTGATGAACAAGAAGAATATTGATAAATATGGGGTCCAAAAATCAGAGATGACTTTGAGACTCAACATATAGTTTAAAGGGATAGTTCACCCAAAAATGTAAATTCTGTCATTTACTCAACCTCATGTCATTCCAAACCCATTTGATGCAATACACAAATTAAGATATGTTTAATTAAACCTATGAGTTTGGAATGATATGAGGGTGAGTAAATGATGACAATTGTCTTTTTTTTTTTACTTTAAATAAAAATTTGATGGACAGCAAATATAATCTAAATGTAAAAAAAGTGCAATAAACATTAACAATTATCCAGTATGTAAGGAATAATTGAAAACGGGCTGTTGAATTATTAGAAAAATAACTGCGGACACATTCGAGGTGGTAATGGTTATATAAGCTGAAAAGAATGCCAGTGACCCTATTATGCTGCTTAACTAGACTATTCACCAAGACTTCTTTAGTTGACCAGCTACACCAGAAAGAACAACCTGGTCAACTAGTTTAACTCGTTATGTTTCACTGTTCAACAGGATTGCTATGTGGTCCACCAGCTAGACAAGGACCAAACCAGCACTAATCACAACTACAAAAGTAAAGTTCAAGGCAAACTTTGAAGGTTGGACTGGCAGCCTTGCCTAGAAGTTTTAAAAAGTCTGAAGTCTGAATGTCAAATGAGCCTTTGCATACTTTGTCAGTTTGAAGAGGGATCAGATGTTTGATGAGACGTAGGCCTTGTCGTGTGGTTGTGAAGGTGTTCTGAGCAGTTGCAAGACAGTTGTTGGGGTATTTCCAGTTTCTAGAAAAATTTAATAAATCAGCATGCTTCTGATTTCAACAGGACTGCCTAACTAAAACAGAAAAACTGCACAGTTGAACTGCAATTGACTCCAACACACCATTATTAAAAAAAAAGGTTATCCCTGCTATCATACCACTACATTATTAAAATAAATAAATAAATAACACCCTAAAGAGGCTGATATCGACCTAGCCAGGCTGTCTAACCTCTCCATGATCCAGTTGTCTTTGGTAGACATACTCACTTAACTAATAGAGGAGCCGGAGGGGATTCTTAGAAGGCAGAAAACTAATGGATTGTGTGAACGTTGGCTTGCGTACACTCTGTGCGGATGATTAAGATCAAATAAAGCATCTCTCATGACACAATCAGATGATTATGTTAGCTCAACAATGACCTGTGTAGGAATATGTCTCTACCCCACAGTTACAGCTCATGCATAAAGATGGGCAAAGCAACGTGCTGGAAATCCCATCAGTGAGGACAAACAAAATGTTCCTGGAGTGCGGAAATGAGGCTGTCTCGCAAAGGGCATCAGCAGCTTTCCATCTCCATCAAAAGAGGTTAAATAATCAGCGGATGCTACTGAGGTGCAAAAACCCTTGTTTGACCTTTGGATTGGGGTCAATGATGCTCACTGCACATTCATATCTATAAACTGGTGTTGTATTTGTACACGCTGGGTTCAGAGGGAGCACATGCTTCTTCTGACATGATTTGAGCAATTACTATAAAAACACTGGGAATAACATAACAGTGAAGTGTGTGAATTCTGCGCTGCTAGCGGCACAAAACAGATGTTTTGATCTGTTTATTTGAGCGAACCAACTGGGCTGGACATAACAACACTGACTCAACCATGGCAGGTTGGGGGATGGGCGTTGGAAATGTGTTTGTGTTTGTGCAATTGTGGTTGATGGTATTATTGAACCACATCGATTTGTACTTCACTGGATATGACGAATTGTTGAAATATATTTAAGGTGCAACATGAAATTTGGGTAACACTTTAGTTCAGGGACCAATTCTCACTACTAACTAGTTGCTTATTAGCATGCATATTACTAGCATATTGGCTGTTTATTAGTACTTTTTAATGTCTTATTCTGCATGAGCATATTTTAGATTCCTTAACCCCACACTGTAAAAAAATGATTGTGATTTTAACAGTAAAAGACTGTAAAAATGCTACAGTAAAACCCTGTTAACTGGTTAACAGTAAGTTTCCATACTATATACGGTGAATAAATGTAATTACATTTAATGTAATTTCACAGTAAAATACTGTTAAAAATACGGTTTTTGGAAGTGAAAAAGAAAAAGTCATTGTATAATTTACAGTGAAAAACCACAAATTGACACTCCCAGAATTCCCTGCATGACACTTCATATTTGATGTTTTTTTTTGTTGAAATAACATGTTTCTTCTTAGTTTTTTCTTATCAGTTGTGTACATTAGGGTTTAATCTTACATCTAATGTTGTTAAATTAATGTTATTGCATTATTTCAGTATAATGTATGTTACCATGATGGGGTTTAGTGTTTGTGTGAATGAGACTGTGTGCACCTTGTATATATAAGTATTGCCCTCCTCAGCTCGTAGAAAAGCTGTTTGTGATGAGCTTTGGTTCATCATGTGACTTTCTCATCACCACCCGTTTTTGGTTGTTTTCAGTTCATTACAATGGTTCAAAACAGATATTAACACTTCAATATGTTGGTTTATTAACATTACATCAGTTAATGAAATACGGTATTTTACTGTGAATTTAAGTTAAGTCTGTAAAACCTAAAATGTTGCTACCATATGTTTTACGGTGAAGTTCTGGCAACCACAGCTGCCGGTATTAACCGTAAATGTCACAGATTTTTTTTTTACAGTGTACCCCATAGCTAAATTTAACAACTAACTCTTCATAAGCAGCAAATTAGGAGTTTATTGAGGCAAAAGTCATAGTTAATATTTAGTTAATAGTGAGAATTGGTCCCTAAACTAAAGTGTGATTCATTCATTCATTAATTCACTCATTTGGTTATCCTGGTGGGTGAAACAGAAAATAGAAGCATATATAGTGATTTTTCATTAATTTGATTAAAATAAATAAATAAATAAATAATAATATATATGTATAACATTGTTTTGATGACTTTTCCAACTCTACAAATCACATATTACCATTGCCTGATATGTCCATGCTTTGCCTGAATATTTGACTAAAACACAGGTTTGAAAAAAAGAGAAACAGAGGGGGAAGTTGAAGAAAGGAGAAAGGTCTCGGGTTGACAGGAAATGTGGGAATGAGTGGCACTTGTCACCACTCAGGCTCTCTCATCTGTCACTGAGAAACAAAGACCTAGGCGCTGCTCTTTTGAAGGCCTCTGTCCCCGTCGGTCTCTCTCTGTGTAAGCAAATGGGAGCACCAGACGGTTTCTCTAAACCCAATGAATATCGGCTGGGTACTGGCAGTGTGACAGAGTAGAACTATGCATGTAACAAAGGCCTAATCAATTAACTCTCAAGATCGCAAAAAACAAAAGGAACACTGTCTCTGATAAGTAGGCTGCTGCTAATTTCTTTAGACGAAGCAGTGCTTAATCAAATTAACACGCGTCAATACTTTGAATTGAAAACTGCAGGAAAAAAGGCTAAGTCAAGGTTCTAAAATCAATAAACTACCAACCAATCTGTGGAAAAAAAAAATAATAATAATGGTAACACTTTATTTTAGGGTCTCTTACCTAGTTAATTATTAGCATGCATATTACTAGAATATCAGTCATTTATTAGTACTAATTAAGCACATTTTAATGCCATATTCAACATTACCTTATTCTACATCCCTAATCCTACCCAATACCTAAACTTAACAACTACCTACTAACTATTAATAAGCAGCAAATTAGGAATGTATTGAGGGAAAAGTCTTAGTGAACTTAGTGAATAAGTGTTCCCTATTCTAAAGTGTTACCATAATACTACTACTACTACTACTAATAATAATAATAATAATAAAGCAATAATTACAACTTTCCAGATTTGGTGGCCATTATTAAAATGGGAAAAAAGTATGCCATGGTATGAATAATGAATCATGGTAATGGAACAGGAAAAATGTTTATGTATTAAATATTCATAATGTATATTTTTAAATAATCCAGTGAATTAAATACTCGACAAACAAAAGGAACACGTCAGTTGTGCCAGTTGAAATGTATATTAAAGGTATAGTTCACCCAAAAATGACAATTTTGTCAACTTTTACTCACCCTCATGTCGTTCCAAACTTGTATGAGTTTCTTTTTTATGTCAAACAAAAAAATATATATTTTGAAGAATGCTGTTAACCAGACAGTTGATGGTCCCCGCTGACTTCCATAGTATTTCTTTCCCTAGTATGGAAGTAAATGGGGACCAATAACTGTTTGGTTTTTCAAAATTCTTCAAAATATCTTCTTTTGTGTTCATCATAAGAAAAAAAAATACACAGTTTTGGAACGACATGAGGGTGAGTAAATGATGACCAAATGTTCATTTTTGGGTGAACTATTCCTTTAATGAGTTGCCTCATTGCTCAAAAACTTTTAAACTTCCATTTAATGCCTCTGTACGGAAGCTGCATTTTTCAGGTCCTACCTTTACACGTAGGCAGAGCTTTGTCCCATACAGGTTTCCCATCAGCCCCCATGATGCAGGTGAGAGTAGGTGGTCCCGCAATGGTGTAACCAGAATCACACTGGTATGTCACAGTTGATCCCAGCTTGTAGTCCATTCCCAGTCGAGTTCCGTTCATTATGTTCCCTGGGTCGAAGCATGCTTCTCGTGGCTTTTCTGTAAAATAATAATAATAATAATAAAGTTTTAAAATTGCACAAATGATGTATGAAGCACATACAATTGATTTCAATTAATGGATGCCCCGTTCTCTCTCTGACATAGTCCACATGTAATTTCTGACAATAAGACAAATGGATTTTGAATGTTTGCTTTGTCCACGGATGTCTCCGGGGAAGTGTTAGAATGTTGCAGACTGCAGTTATAGGTTTCAGCTTGTCTCACCGTGAATCTTTAACAAATGCCACCTTCCAGCATCCCCAAAGTTCTCTAAACACGCCTGTCCATAAATGTTGATGTCAGTAATTTGATCACATGATTTTTAATTGATTGACAGCCCTCGTACCTGTAATTCAACTGACCCTGAACAAAATTAATCAGATGCACAATCGTGTCCCGCATTTGCGTTCCATGCTGGCCATTTCAAAAGCTGAGACAGGTAACAGACAGAAGGAAAAAGCGAGATCGACAGTGAGTGTGAAGAGGGAGCAGACAGTTGCTTGAGGGCATCGGGCATTAAAGCGAACTAACACCAGGGGAAAAGCAGGTGAATGTGCTGGGGCAGCAGAAGATGGTCTCTGTCCTTCTGGCACCCGACACAGGGAGAAGGACAGTTGGAGAAAGCTCCGGAGGTGGTGCTTGGAGAGGCTGCCAAACAACTTGACAGTTAAACAGCTATCTGCCGAGCCTTAGGGACCTGAGAAAGTGGGAAGGAGGAGGGGAAGATTCTATCTGCAAAATTGCAAGTGTGCAACACAATCTTCCTCGTTTCTACAAAAACAGAGGAACAGCGAGTGCACCTGGAGTGCACCACACAGACTAAAAGGAACAGGCCCAAAAATGAATATTCTGTCATCATTTGTAGCACACATGCTCACCCTGACATGCATATCCGTCATGAGATTGTCCACTTTCACTGCCACCACCATATATATCAGATGTATTAACTCCTTATTACCAGGCCCAAATGAGATGTGTGGACATACTTTTTTTTCTGAATTGAATTTTGCAAAATGAAATGAAATGTGATAAAAAAATGAAATGTGTTAAGATTACCAGCCACATTTTAAAGGGTACAGTTCACCCAAAACTGACCACATTTTTATCATTCGTTATAAAATGTATTCATTAAAAAAAAAAGAAAAGGAGTTTGGTTAGGAAGATTGCATAGTGGGTCCATAAATTAGAAATTAATCATAAATGAAACTAATACAACGGCATTCATACCTCTGTACATGTTTTTAAGGGCCACTAAAATTTATATTTTATATTAAGGACCACTATATTTATATTTCTCTGTTTATCAATCTGTTCTGTTTTTCCTCAAGGTATGAGAGTTTTTGGACTGTGATATTCTCATATTCATTTCTTTTCCCTAGTAAAGGCATTAATAATTGTGTTTACCGGTGTGTGATAAACAATAGCAGATAAAAGATTGGCTTAAGAGAAACAGTGAGCAAATGAGGACATTGAATTAATTAAAAGAAAACACAAGAGCAAAGAGAAAAAGACTTCATCATGTCATTGTCATACATGACACGTTCTAATTAAGGCGTCGATGGAGAGAGTGAGACACTTATTCAGGCCTTAGAATAGAGTGCTGTTGTTGCAATGCAAAGCCAAGAACAAATAGCAAACAATGATATAATCACTTTCAGATATGAGCTTGGAAACAGTTAAATAGACAACACCAATGATTCATCAAGGTGAAAGTAGCATTGCTTTGATGGCTCCTACACCGAACATGTGCAGTTCTAATATTAACGTCATATCAAACATCAAAGGTCGACTTATATTGTTAGTCGAGGCTATTTTGCAGCTAAAATTGTCATTATTTAGCTTTTCATGACCATCCTCGATCCTATCCCACCCGTAAAAAAATTCAACTGATCATTTTCATCCATAGTGTATATTTAGTTATATTGCATTTAGTTATATTACATAATGAGTATTCACAATCAGTGCTGAAATGTGCCAAACAAATGACTGTTATTTATTTATTTTTATAAAACGGATAGTTCTGGTCCTTGATTCTGATTGGTTGACCTGCATTCGAAGCTGTTGTAAATTACACTACAAACATACACCTTTGTTTACTTCTGTGTGTTGCTCGGCAACCACTTTGTTGGATAACAGCTCCGCTTCGCGTCGTGCCTAACAACGCCCCTTAGCTGTTATAAATTCACTGTAAACCACGGCTTCTTGGGGCTTATTGCTTTAATTTGTTGTTTCTAATATTGGGATGATTATATCTTGAGCTACAGGTGCCACACACAGCCAGAAACAAAACTTATGTCTCGCTAATGAGCTAGACTTTCAAACTTTTTAAAAACAGTTTCGGAAGAAATTACACACTTCACCTTTAAACTGAAGTCAGAAGAAGAAATGCAATGAAACACTATCAATAATATAATCAATACAGCAAAATTGGGTCTTCCACCAGGATTTCAATCACTGCACTGAGACGTGAAGCGAAGAGTTCTAATGGTCCCATCACCTGTGTTTTGTGATGGTGTTCTCTGATGAGCTTTCACGGTAAAAATCAAACTCCCATGCGTCACTCAGTTTCCCGATAAACACAGGGCAAACCTAATGCCACGACATGAAAGTGAAATCCTGAAGCATTGTGGGATGTTGAGACCATCAACAAAGCAATTTAATACATTGACAAGCAAGCTTTTAAAATGTACTAGGTTTTCATGTGGAGCAAAGACAAAAGGTTGAAGTCAGAGTTCATCTACACTGTGCAATAGGTTGCAATTAAAATAATTACAATTAAAATATTCAACAATCCATGAACTGCACATTTACTCAGCCATAATCATCATAGAAAAAGTGCAGCTGGGAGTGGAAATGATTTCAGAAAGGTGCATAGCATGTTAGAGACGGTGCATTGTCATCATTGCATGCCCTGATTTTCAAAATACAAACTCACATTCTTTTTAAAAATAAAAGCATTTACAAAGAGCAAATTGGCAAAACCTGCTCTTCCCATGGAGAATAGTGCCAGGTATTCACTGTGAAAGGTTAATAGTATTACTCAAGGAAGCACAACATATAACTCAATACCACTTAAGAGCTTTTTTTGATTAATCACAGGAAAGTTGCACCCTTGCGAATCATTTAACATATGCTCTTTCACTAATGCATGCATTTAGTACTCCAGGGGAGTGTTTCCCGTACAGCAAAGTCACTCACTGATTAACTACCATAGTGTGATGCATCTTTGTTGAAACTAACTAGCTTGTCATAACTGTTTCCTGAACATAGTCGCATCTCAGTCGATTGAACCACATTGGTTCAACAGTATAGTGCCATTGTTAACGAGGTCATGTGCTTGTGGTGGAGTGATAACTTCTGCTAATTAAATGATTTGAGAACTCTGAGTTGCTACTGTATTAAACATGCCACCTGATGACTACTTCAGTGTTTTTTGTTCCCTGTTATTTTGCTGTAATTGATGTTTGATTCATTGTGGGTTCTCTCTTACATAATACTCTGATGTTCCCTTGTGTATTTATGCACATATAAAAATGTGCTGACTGTTGATATGCTAAAATATGCAGATTGAAATGTATATTTAACTGGAATGAAAGATAGAGAATGTACTGCATGCTAGCTTGCGACCATAGCTGGTTAACAATGTTATTGGGAAATACACCCCAGTATGGATGCCAAACTTCCAATAGCACAACTAAATCCAAAATCTGACGGTAATTTTAAAAACACCATGAAATGGCTATACAAACATACAGTAGTTGTCCTATCTATGGCTGTGTTGATGTATTTCTTATTAAAATCGGAATTTGAGACAAGACGTATTGAATGTCATATATATATATATATATATATATATATATATTTATAAAGTTCCGGTGTCACGTTTCACTCAAGGGAGCACTGGAACGAAGGAGCGAGGAGACAAGGAGACACTGGAGACATCAAGCAGACAACATGACATTTAACAGCAGACGGGAAACACTAGGAAACTCCGCTTCGCGTTGTGCCTACCAACGCCTCTTAGCTGTTATAAATTCACTTTATAAAACGGATAGTTCCAGTCCTTGATTCTGATTGGCTGAGCCACGTTTGAAGCTGTTGTAAATTACTCTACAAACATACACCTTTGTTTACGTATGTCTGTTGCTTTGCAACCACAACTGATTCTGAGGAACTACATTGTTTGGTGGAAGAATACTGTTTTTATTAATATCATTACACTTTATTTGCTCTGTTTTATTTTGTGAAACCTTACTACGTATATGGAATAACC